AGGCGACCTCAGTCTGAGGAAGCCACACCCACTGGGAATCAAAACCTCCACCTTCACCTGCCAGATCTGCTCGCACCTCGCTGAGAACAACCTGAGGTGGGCTCAGCGAGCACCTGAACACACATGGACTGATGCACGTGCAGAGGTCTGGATGCTCACGTGTGTGTGTGCGTGTGTGTATACAGGTTAATGCAGCACATGCTGCAGCACTCAGAGCTGATTGGAGGAGGTGGAGGAGGTGACGAGAAGAAGTGCTGCAAGTTCTGTTACCGACAGTTCTCATCTCCTGCTCAGCTGAACAGCCACCAGGAGCAGGTGCATGGCCGCACCCCCTCCTCCTGTAAGAACCACACCTGCTCACACACCTGAAGAATGTAAAACAAATTTGTCTTCCTTTTAGGACTTAACCTTTGGAGTTACCTGTCTTGACTTGGACTGGACTTGGGACTTACCTGTCTTGATGTGGGACTTGACTTGGACTTAGGGCTTACCTGTCTTGGCTTGCCCTTGACTCATGACTTACCTGTCTCCGGACACACAGGAGGAGGAAGCGCTGCAAACCGCTTGAACGCACGAACAAAGACAGGTACAGTCTGTATCTGGACCTGAGACCTCACCTGTCCTCCCTCTCTCTCAGGTATGTGTCATATTTGTGAGTGGGCGTTTGAGAACGAGCCGGCCTTCCTGAACCACATGAAGTCCAACCACAAACCAGGAGAGATGCCCTACATCTGCCAGGTGAGTCTGACTGCTGGCCGCCGACCTGGCTCGGGGTCAGTCCTCAGGCCTCACTAATTCAGGTGTGCCTTGCAGGTGTGTTCGTATCGCTCGTCCTTCTACTCGGACGTCCTGCAGCACTTTGCCAGTTTCCACAGAGACTCGCGCTTCCTGCTGTGTGTGTTCTGCCTGAAGGTGACCAGAAACCCCGCCAGCTACCAGCAGCACCTGCTGCGACACCAGGTGAGCGTGCACACACACATACTGTTGTCAGCTAACAGGCCAATCAGCAGCCCCTCCTGGAGTTACCTGTGTAGCGGAGTCAGCGGCGTTTATACATGTATCACAGGACGTGTCGGCCATGTTTCAGTGTCTCTCTGGTGCAGCAGGAACACAAAACAAACACACAAGACAAACCTTTTGTCTTTTATTTAGCCCCAGCGGCTAAGGATGTCACGATGCCAGAAATTTGGATACCAGTACCAGTGAAATTCCACGATTCTCGATGCCAAATTTGGTCCCACGTTACAAAATAAAAACGTCACCATGTTGCGCGGCCATTTTTCTACAGTAGCCCAAATGGACAAGTAGCATTACCAGTAGTAGCAGTAGAAGCAGTACCAGTAGTAGCAGTACCAGTAGTAGCAGTACCAGTAGAAGCAGTAGTAGCAGTACCAGTAGAAGCAGTAGTAGCAGTACCAGCAGTACCAGCAGTAGTAGCAGTACCAGTAATAGTAGTAGCAGTACCAGCAGTAGTAGCAGTACCAGTAATAGTAGTAGCAGTAGTAGCAGTACCAGCAGTAGCTGTACCAGTAGTAGTAGCAGTATTAGCAGTACTAGTAGTACCAGTAGTAGCAGTACCAGTAGAAGCAGTACCAGCAGTACCAGCAGTAGTAGCAGTACCAGTAATAGTAGTAGCAGTAGTAGCAGTACCAGCAGTAGCTGTACCAGTAGTAGCAACAGTAGTAGCAGTAGCAGTATTAGCAGTACTAGTAGTACCAGTAGTAGCAGTAGAAGCAGTAGTAGCAGTACCAGTAGTAGCAGTACCAGCAGTAGTAGTAGCAGTACCAGCAGTACCAGCAGTACCAGTAGTAGCAACAGTAGTAGCAGTAGCAGTATTAGCAGTACTAGTAGTACCAGTAGTAGCAGTAGAAGCAGTAGTAGCAGTACCAGTAGTAGCAGTACCAGCAGTAGTAGTAGCAGTACCAGCAGTACCAGCAGTAGCAATAGTAGCAGCAGTAGTAGTAGCAGTACCAGCAGTACCAGCAGTAGCAATAGTAGCAGCAGTAGTAGTAGCTGCAGCCGCACTAGTCGCCATCTTCCACACGTTGGATCTACAGTTCCTTGAAAAACAAGTACCGACATGTGTTCAGAATTTTGGTTTTGAGTTGGTACCGAAGTTTCAGTTCTCGTGACATCCCTACCAGCTGCTCAGAACCCGTACTGTAAAACATGTAGGAACGCCGTACAGCAGAAGCTCTTGCCTGAGAGTGTCCTCTGTCCTCTGTCTCAGGTCAGCCAGGCCTTCCACTGCAACAGATGCCGTCTTCAGTTCGTCTTCCTGAAGGATAAGATGCAGCATAAACTGGAAAACCATCGCAGCTTCCGTCGACCCGCTCAGCTGGAAGGACTGCCGCCGGGGTCAAAGGTCAGCCCTTCACGCCGGCTTCGGCCTGAAGCAGAGTTAAAGATGTCGCAGCGTGTCTTTCAGCGACTCGGCCCAGAAACACGACCAATCATCGTTCCCGCCTTTCACGGTGGCGTGATGTGTTTGGGAAGGAGGTGCTAGAGACCAACTTCCAAGTAAACAAACAAAGGCGTCCGAAGCTGTGTGTCTGAGACTGGCCAGGGCTGCAGCTAATGGCCGTGTTTCCATCAACGTTTTTTAATGCGTATTTTGAAGCATCGCGTTAGAAAATGTCGATGGAAACGGCAAAATCTGAAAACTAATCCTTAATTTTGGACAAAAGTTTTTTCGTTCACTTGAGGTGTTTTTGTAGAAAAAGAGTAAATGCTCTAAACGGGAGATGGAAACCCTTTTTCCGAATAAGTTCTGACTTACTTGTAACTGCACGCCGGCCCAGAATTTCCTGCACCTTGTGGCTGGTAACACTCATTTGTGCTGGGTAAAGAGGTGGATGCAGATCTGGGCAGGAAGCCTTCATCAGCTGTTCTGCTGAATGATGCGTTCACCTCTTAAAGGTCCTTCTCAGATCCTTTGCTCTGCACACTGATCAAACGGGGTTATCGCCGCATATTGTTGCTGGATCTCAGTGAACGCTGCTTCTACTGAGTGTAATAAAATATTATCGACTCTAAACGTTCATAAAATACATACTTGGATTCGTTTATCACCACTGAAGAACCCCACAGAGGATAGCGTTTAAAAGCAGTATTTGGAGGAGCATGCAGAACTTGGCGGCTGGTTTTGTTTCTGGTTTGGAACCCATACATCGGTTTATTACAGCCATGTGCAACATCAACTACTGAACATTTATTCGCTCCCAACCAGCTGATGGAAACACACGTATTCCACAGTTCCTTTTTTTTACTTTTTTGTGACATTTCAAAAGTACGCTTAAAATTCTCATGACATTTAGATGGAAACATGGCTACTGATTAATTTCAGAGTCGACTAATCAAACGATTCTTTTTGTCACCTTCTATCTAACCCTAATCAAACTATTTCACTAATTATCTTTCAAGTGAATTCCTGATAAACTCCAACACACTAACTAGCTCAGAATTAACGCTGGTATAAACGCCAGGGAAGGAAATAGGCAAGAAGAAGAAGAGATGGAGTAGGCTCCTCCTGTTAATCACTATTCACTTAACACAAATCGGTTATCAGCGTGCACTAGAGAGCTCCTTTCATGAGAGCTCAAAACAAAGAAAGCAAAGAACTAGAGAAAGACTGCAGAGCTCCAAATCAATCAGCTCACAGTCAGGTTTAGTAGGTTTTAACCTACAGGGAGTTGGCTTTGGTTTATTGGAGCATAAATAAGAATTATATAAAATCAAAGTCTATTAATAATATTAAAGTTCAAATATAATATAAAGTTTCACAAACCAAGAATGTTCTGGACATCACGAGCCGGATGTTTCCTGATTTACCTTAAAACGTTACTCAGATGTGGAGTTTCTCAAGCCTGAAAACGTTTGAGCACATTTTTGTTTCGCCCTTAAATTTTGGTAAAAATGCCAATATTTATAACCTCTGCAGCTGATTTCTCACCTCAACCTGTCAGAAGTGGATTTAGTGATAGTGGAAAATTTTTTGATCAACGTCATCAGTTATGTTGTTGAATGGTTGGTCTTATGTTTGGAAAAGATGTTTCACAGTTCCACCTCACAGCACCAACATCGTTCCCTACTCGCTGCCCCATGTTTCCAGTTCTCTGTGTTCCTATTGGTCAGGACCTGACCAAACACGCTGTGGAGGTCAGAAAGCACTCGTCTTTCTGTCAGTGTAGCGTCTGTTTCACCCATTGTCCCCCAACCCGACGCCCTACGTCTGCCGGGTCGGGCTGGTGTGCAGTCTGACCCGGCACCAGCAGCTTGTTGTGACCGTGTCTTTAGTTCCGATCCGTGTCTCCAGGTGACGATCAGGACCTATGGGAAGATCAGGCCTGCGATGACATCAGCAGGGAGCCGGCTGCTCCAGAGCCCCTCCTCCCTCATCCAGCCAATCAACATCAAGACAGAGCAGCAGAAGTCTCCGACCCAGAGGAGTCCGGTTCTCTCCAAGTCCCCTCGATCACCAACCAAGAGGCCGGTCAGCCGAAGAGTCCACGTCAGCAGGTGGGACATATATCAGAGTCTGACCTCCACTCTGGTTCAGACTGCTGCTGGATGGGTGGAGGTGAAACGTGCAGCTGCAGCTTGCTGTCTGCTGTAACTGTGTCCTCTGCACGTCTCCTGCAGGAGTTCATCGTGTGACGGAGAACGCTTGGTGTGTTTGGAGTGTGGAACAGACGCCTCTGACTTCTCGGCTCACTACCCGACTCACGTCCACTGTCTGCTGTGTCCGTACAGCAGCTGCTGCTCCAGAGCCTACGCTGCCCACATGATCCAGTAAGAACACACAGTACTGCAGTAATACTCACAGTAATGCTCACAGTACTGCAGGAACACACACACATACTTCAGTAGTACTCAGTGTACTGCAGTAGTATTCAGGTTGGAGTAATGATTATTCTGATCTGTGTGTTTCAGTCATCACGTACCGCCAGCCAAAGACAAAGCTGTTCCTCTGCACAGACTTCCTCCTCCATGGTGAGACCATCACTGATCACTGATCACAGCCCTCTGGGCCGACACACACAGACTCACAGCTGTACACACTCACTGGTGATCAGGGTTTGATGTTTGTAGGAGCTGTCGATGTAGAGCAGAGTGCTGCAGTTGCTCTGTCTGACCTGTAGGTGTCGCTCTGCATCACTGAAACTCCTCTGACTGCTAAATGGTGTCAGAACCACACTCTGCTGAGTTTTCTCTCTTGACTCACTCGTGTTGAGCTGTTTGTTAAATTCAGAACAGAACCAGTGAAAGGCCGGGTCACAGCAGACTGAGCCGGGTCAGTCACTACTCCTGAAGCCTGAGGCCCTACTCCTGAAGCCCGAGGCCCTACTCCTGAAGCCTGAGGCCCTGAGGCTCTACTCCTGAAGCCCTGAGGCCCTACTCCTGAAGCCTGAGGCCCTACTCCTGAAGCCTGAGGCCCGAGGCCCTACTCCTGAAGCCTGAGGCCCTACTCCTGAAGCCTGAGGCCCGAGGCCCTACTCCTGAAGCCCTGAGGCCCTACTCCTGAAGCCTGAGGCCCTACTCCTGAAGCCCGAGGCCCTACTCCTGAAGCCCGAGGCCCGAGGCCCTACTCCTGAAGCCCGAGGCCCTACTCCTGAAGCCTGAGGCCCTACTCCTGAAGCCCGAGGCCCTACTCCTGAAGCCCGAGGCCCTACTCCTGAAGCCCGAGGCCCGAGGCCCTACTCCTGAAGCCCTGAGGCCCTACTCCTGAAGCCCGAAGCCCTGAGGCCCCACTCCCGAAGCCCTGAGGCCCTACTCCCGAAGCCCTGAGGCCCTACTCCTGAAGCCCTGAGGCCCTACTCCTGAAGCCCGAGGCCCTACTCCTGAAGCCCTGAGGCCCTACTCCTGAAGCCCGAAGCCCTGAGGCCCTACTCCTGAAGCCCTGAGGCCCTACTCCTGAAGCCCGAAGCCCTGAGGCCCCACTCCCGAAGCCCTGAGGCCCTACTCCTGAAGCCCGAGGCCCAAGGCCCCACACCTGAAGCCTGAGGCCCTACTCCTGAAGCCCGAGGCCCTACTCCTGAAGCCTGAGGCCCGAGGCCCTACTCCTGAAGCCCGAGGCCCTACTCCTGAAGCCCGAGGCCCTACTCCTGAAGCCTGAGGCCCGAGGCCCTACTCCTGAAGCCTGAGGCCCTACTCCTGAAGCCTGAGGCCCGAGGCCCTACTCCTGAAGCCCGAGGCCCTACTCCTGAAGCCCGAGGCCCTACTCCTGAAGCCTGAGGCCCGAGGCCCTACTCCTGAAGCCTGAGGCCCTACTCCTGAAGCCTGAGGCCCGAGGCCCTACTCCTGAAGCCCGAGGCCCTACTCCTGAAGCCCGAGGCCCTACTCCTGAAGCCTGAGGCCCGAGGCCCTACTCCTGAAGCCCGAGGCCCTACTCCTGAAGCCTGAGGCCCTACTCCTGAAGCCTGAGGCCCGAGGCCCTACTCCTGAAGCCCGAGGCCCTACTCCTGAAGCCCGAGGCCCTACTCCTGAAGCCCGAGGCCCTACTCCTGAAGCCTGAGGCCCGAGGCCGTACTCCTGAAGCCTGAGGCCCGAGGCCCTACTCCTGAAGCCCGAGGCCCTACTCCTGAAGCCTGAGGCCCGAGGCCCTACTCCTGAAGCCTGAGGCCTGAGGCCCTACTCCTGAAGCCTGAGGCTCGAGGCCCTACTCCTGAAGCCTGAGGCCCGAGGCCCTACTCCTGAAGCCCGAGGCCCTACTCCTGAAGCCTGAGGCCCGAGGCCCTACTCCTGAAGCCTGAGGCCCGAGGCCCTACTCCTGAAGCCCGAGGCCCTACTCCTGAAGCCCGAGGCCCGAGGCCCTACTCCTGAAGCCCGAGGCCCGAGGCCCTACTCCTGAAGCCCGAGGCCCTACTCCTGAAGCCCGAGGCCCTACTCCTGAAGCCTGAGGCCCTACTCCTGAAGCCTGAAGCCCGAGGCCCTACTTAGTGATTTCACTAAAAGTAACTGATCTGCTCGTTGTAGCAGCAGACACCAACAAAGAAGAAGAAACTCAGTACAGTCGCTAACTAGCGTTTTGTGGTGTAACTGTGGATTTACGGTTGAAGTTATATATTTTTCCGTAGGGGAGGGGTGAGAAACACATTTAGTGCCACAGTTACTGCATCTGCAGAAGAAAGTACAAGTTACTGATTAGTTTGCTGTCGGAGAGCTTGTTGATTACGTCCTGTTTCCTGTTAAACCCTCATGTTGCTGTGAAATAACCTCTGACGTTGTTGTTTCAGTGTGTTCCTGCTGCAGTGCTCTCAGTGCCACTTCAGGCCTCAGGCTGCAGATCAGATGGCCGATCACCTGCTGAGGAATCCGGAGCACTACAGCGCCACCTGCTGCTCCAGGAGTAAGACTTCACACACACACACACACACACACACACACACACACACACACACACACACATATATATTTCACAGGCCGGTAGATTCCTGACAACTTCACAGAAAATGTTTTGGACGACAGGGAAAACAGAAAAATAGGGAGTTCAGGTGATTCACGTCAGTTTATTCTCTACTGTAACTCCTTTTAAAGTCTTTTAGTCAGAGTCAAAGTTAAAAACACAAAGATGTGAAGAATAAAGTTTCCAATAAAATCTGAATGATAACAGGTAGGCAGTCTGTCTCTCCAGGACATTTAAAAGACATTAGGAAATGATGAAGAAATAAAGTGTTCACCTCTCATGTTGGCTCCATCACTCCGGTCGGTGACGTCGATGTGTCTGTTGGTGCAGCACCTGGACCGGTCCTTCAGTAACTCTCTCTCTCCTGATACCTCTAGTCTGAGACGGGTCCACAGGTCTGATTTCTCAGTCACAAGAACACATTTCACGAAGAAGCCTCTTATTCTGATCTGCTCCTGTTTGAAGGTTTAAACATTTCTCTCCATGTTGACTGTTCTGTGTTTACCGGCCAATCAGCAGTGATTATTTTGACGTTTGTCATGTCAATCAAAGAAATACGTTGATTTATCTTCTGTGTTCTGAGTCTGCACCAGGGTCCATGTTTTGACACATTCGGTTAGTTTAGCTTTGGTTTCACTCTGTAACTCTGTGAGCGCACTAAAGAATTTTACATGATATACTCTCATCCTGTCGTCATCATCTATGTGGGCTGCGTCTTCCTGTACTGGACACAGATTGGTTAGTACAGACGCAGATCGTTGCCACTATGTTGTGTAGTGCTGGCCCAAATGTAATTTTTTGAGCTTCGAAGCTTTGATAGTAATTAGAAGCAAATAATCAAAGCTTTGACGTCCAGACGGAGAGCAGACGGGATAAGCGCCACATTCACTTTTAACTTTTATTACTAAATGCTCATCTTCTACAGCCAGCCTAATAGCCTACAGTTTACTGATTCATTTAAAAGGACTCTGCTTTGTTTTCCCTTTGATGTAAAAATGACCAAATCAACATCCTCGTTTTGCGAACATTATGTCGTCGCCGCCGGCAGGAGAGGAGGAGAAGACGGCAGCAATCCTTCTGCTCCTGCATCCTTTGCTTCCATAGATGAACCAATTTATAATCCTGTCCTTGTTTCAGTGCAGAGACATAGATCAACAACAGTTTTTGGCTCCTTTTCTTTTGCTACATCTTCGTCTCTCGGTTATTTACAGTTCACATGGGAACCGCCAAACAAAAAAAAAAATGCTTTCACACTAGAAAGAAACCGAACCATGGTTCAGTTTGGTCGTCGGACCATATCTTGGCTGTTTGGCTGGGAGAACAGTCCGGACCAAGCGAGGTAGGTGTGAAAGGGCCCTAAGTCGACCTAAACCTCTGGGCCTCAGAGACACTTCCTGTTTGTAGTTCAGTAGCTGTGCAGGAAGATGGCATCAGTGTTGTACTCTCACCTACAGAGCTATAAAACCCAACTCCCGGCATGTTTGGACCATGTGGGGGGTTCAGAGGTGAGGAAACGGGCTTGGACCCAAACTGTTAGCATGTAGCTACGAGTCAGAACTGGTTATTGTCAGTGGTGGAATGTAACAAAGTACTGTACGTCAGTACTTTGTTGTACTTTACTTTACTTTTTTTTTTACTACTGCAATACCTGTGACTGACAGCTTCAGTGACTTTGACCATTCCTGTCCAGTGGAAACCCTGTATCTCTCAGATCAGCTGGAATATACATCGTCACAAAGCTGAAAACCCTGAGATTCAAGGTTCTCACAGGACACTTGGTGTTCTTATAGACCATGATGCACTGCTGCAGATTAAACTAGCCAACAGGATATAAAGGAGTTAAAATGCAACATCCACATTAATGCAGCAGGAACATTAACCCAGAAACATCAGAGAATAGTTTACTGCAACATGAGTACTTTTACTGCAGTAAAGGATCAGGTGAGAGGTTTCTGGTAGTTATGAGATTATTTTCTTTGCTGAATGCATTTTGCTGCTGTAAAAGGATTCCCTGGCTTCAGTGATGTTGCAGCAACAGGTCAGACACTTCCAGCTGGTCACATGTTCAGTTCTGGGTTTTTGCCTCCTGATATTTGAACCAGCAGCTAACGTTAGCTCGACCTGCTGCCACAGGTTTAACTGCTGCTGTCTGCAGGATCAGATTCTTTCACAAGATTCAGTCAGATAAAACTGAAGGTCAAATGAAAACCAGCTGTGAAACATCTCCAGATGTTTTCAGTGAACCGAGTTCAGCTTCCTGAGTCCGGTCTCGTCTCTCAGCTCCAGCGTCCTCTCCTCCTCCTAAATCACACTTTTCCTCGGGGAGGTCTGCAGGTTTCCAACAGCGTCCAGCTTCTGTCTGCAGCCGGTGCCAACGTAAATAAAACCGACATGGTTCACCTTGACGTCATGAAGCTGTTGAAATAAAGGGAGAGTAAACAGCAGAGGGAGTGTTGTAACTGGAACAATGTGTTTACACATCAAGATTTCTTCCAACATGATCTGCTGCCAAGTTAGAGAGGAATTGGTGTGTAAAGTTCACTAATCATAATAACATGTAAAGTCTGAATCACTCTGTGAAGTAAAGGAGAAACTCTCTCCTCTGGAGTCTGAACAGAAGGCTCTGAACAGATTCACATGGTGGCCCGGAGTCAGAAAAGCAAGTTTCCAAACTACTAATCAGCTCCACAGTTGATCCACATGCTCTAAACAGTCATCCCTTTGGCAGTAAGTCTCTGAATACCCCACTAACTCTCCCTGGCTTTGTTACTCCAGCTTCCTGTCAAATGTAAGAATTCATTTAAAGGTTCTTGTATTTACTTTTAGTGCCACCGTTTGGCTCCACCAGCTGTGCTACCAGAAGTCTGCAGAATGCAGAAGCCAGAATATCTGACCATAGAACAGCCATCCTGGCCTCTTCACTGGCTGCCGAGGGAGCTAGAGCTGGTTTAAAGGTCCTTCTTTTAACTTATAAGGCCGTGCATGAACTTTCCTCCTTCCTAGCTGAGCTAATTACGCCATACACACCGACTCGCCCTCTTTGCTCTCTCCATGTTGGACGCTTGGTCACTCCCTTGTTTAACAGAAAATCAGCTGGCTACAGAGCCTCTCTATTTATGGATTGACCTTCCATTATATGTCTGGGAAGCAAGTCTGTGGATATTTTTAAGTCAAGACTGAAAACCTTCTTAAGCGCACATCACTACAGCCTCTCCTAGCTGCTGATCCCATAGAGGTCTACCGGACCTCAGGTCATCAGAACAAGGTTTCCTGGTGGTTTCCTGGTTGGTCGGGACTTGTGGTGACCGAGCTTTTGCTGAATCCTTTCCCCTCAGAGGGTCTGGAACCAGTAGCATCAGCTGTTAATTAGTTCAACCCTAACCCAGTTAGTCACAGTTTAGGAAGTAAATTAAAGCAGGTTAGTTTTTACGTGGACTAGATATTTACATGCAGTAACTACAAGATGTAACCGGCGCGTAGCTGATAACCAACCGAAACATTTGCCTTCTACAGGAATAAATATGCTGCATATGGCATTTGTTTTTACTCTTTGGTAAATTTACGCTTGTCTCTGGTTTTAATATGTATTCAGATTCTTTTTATTATAGTTTGTCTTTAGTTTTTCTGACTATGAAGCATTTTGTAGCCCTGGTTTTGAAACAGTGCTTGAAAAATTTTACTCAGTTCTTTAAACAGAGGTTGAGCACTATGTGGAGGCAATACTGTGAGACAGACCTAGAATGTGTTTTGAGTTGGGAGTGCTAAGACTGGGCGAACAATAGGACAGTATAGGAACAGCACTACTTCAGTAATCAGAATGAACACACTGGCTTAGCGCCCCCCACCCTGTCTGAGTCTGAATCCGGTCCTGCAGAACAGATCAACCTTGAAGCCAGTAAATTTCAGTCACACACATGTCGCTCGTGACAGTTTAAATAAAAGAAGACATATTGAAGATTTCAGGTACCTGGAGAGCTTGATGTGATGCCACAGAAAACAAATGTTTGAGAATCTTTTCAACGTGCTGAACATAGAACTTAACGATGAAGAAAAGGATTATGGTGCATAAGGTTTGAGAAGTTTCAACAGATGTTTTGATATTTTATGATTTTTGATTTCATTTTGAGTTAATTTTGTTTTGTTAGTGATGTTTTCAGAATTAATGATTGTAAATTACTGTTTTAAGATGCTTAAAAAGTTAACTTGTCCTTCTTTTCAGCCTACATTGAACCTGATATCCAGTTCTGCCACAGTGGAGAGCAGCGCTCTTCAGAAGAGAGGGAACTAGTTCAGAACAAGGACTTGCCTAATCCATCGTGGAGGTCAGCAGGTTGTTGGAAACAACCGACAGAGAGCGACAGCGCAAAGTCCACCATCATCTCGTTTGTGCAGAGCAGTGGACCTCGTCACTGCCTGCCAAAGAACAGCGACGCCATCGACTTCTTCAACCTGCTTTTCCCTGCAGCACTTGTGGAGCTGATCACCAATGAGACCAATGCCCACGTCAAGACCTGTCAGTTCCTTGGCTCCAGCTACCCAGACTGGGTCCCCGTCACCACCCATGAGGTCAAAGGTTTCATCGGCCTGGTGATTCTGATGGGTATCCAGAACCTTCCTGACCTTTCACACTACTGGTCCTGGAGTCACTACGACAACAGCTATACCTTCTACCGCGCCATGAGCTTCAAACGTTTCAAGCAGATCGCTGCCAACCTCCGCATGGGCAGCTTCGCCACAGACGAGTATCGTGGTGCCAGCAACCCCAGCGACTCGCTGCACATCTTCAGGCCGATGTTGGACATCCTGGGTGGAGCAATGTGGAACACCTACCGGCCCAACTGCTGCCTGACCATCGACAGGGCACTGCTGCCCAGCCTGGAGGAGGAGAGCTGCCACTCCAAGGGGAACCCAAGAACCCAGCCTCAGGTGTGGCTTCTCTGTGACTCAAAGTCTGGCTACTGCCACCGCTTCTTTATCCAGGTAGGTGAGAAGGTGGGCCAGGAGCCGGGCTTCACCGTGGTGCCGGAGCTGGTGAAGGGTCTGGAAGACAAACACCATCAACTTTACCTGGCCAGTTCACTTACGTCCGTCCCTCTAATGCAGAAGCTTCTGGACCAGGGCATCTACGCCTCCAGCTCCTTCCCTCCACCCAACCCCATCCTGCCCAGAGAGCTGTGGGCGGAGGGCTTGCTGGAGAAACCCGGAGATTTCCTGCAGAGGCAGTTTGGACCCTTGCTGGCCACCCGCTGGAGGGACACCAAGGAGATGGGCTGCCTGTCGACTAATGCAGCTCCTGGTGAGAGGGACACTGTTTGGAGGAGGTCTCAGACCAAAGTGGGTGGACTGGACCCCATCGACCGTCCCATGTCCTTCTGCCTCCTGCAGGAGAACATGCGAGGA